TGGATTTTATATGTCTATATTTATATTTTTATATAATATCTAAAAAGACAAAACATTATTGCTTCCAAGACAATCCTTATTTTATATAGTATTCTCAATTATTTATATATGTTAAATAGAGGATCTCTTACACTAACTATATAAAATTATGGCTAAGATATCTGTATGGTTAGCCCTACTAAGTTCTATGCTTTAAGATGTTATAGTGGTAAATAGGGGAACCAGCCGCGGTTACATTACTAGTACACCTGAGAGGTCCATTTTATTATCTGAGTGAATCAAATTACTTACCAGTAAGCAGCTCAGGATCCTCACTACCTAGAACATCTGCCACTCCCAGCTCTTGGCGTGTACATGTACCCCCATGAATATGGAGCCAGGCTGGTTCTGCCAGTGCAGTACACAATGCAGTAATGGACAATGCACCAGGCAAAGCAGAAGCTAAGCTCCTTTCTGGTTGCTTAGGTAGCGCATGGGCTCCATGACCTCTTCTCAATGGCACGGACGAACCACCGGACCCGCCGGGAGTAAACATCTTGGGAGTAGAGGAGAGGTATGACTCTGTATAAGTGAACAAAGTAAAGAATTATGGTTTAGAGAATGGCTCATCAACACAGTTTAAAACAACACTCTGGGCACTATAACAACTTGACTGGAATAAAGTTATTATGTTGCCATTATGTCTTTGTTGCTATGGTGCTCTAAACCAATAAGTAGTTCCCCATTCACAAAATGGCTTTAGAGAAATCTGTACGTTTCTCAGGATGTTTTTTTAATTACGAGCTACCGATTGGCTCAAGATTCTAAGCAGCAGAGGGGCAGAGCAATTAGGCACTGTATACTAGACTTTGGGGTTTGTGAACGATTTAATTCCTGAAAGTAAGATGGCACTAGTTCCTTCCTGGCACCATAACAACTCTCCAATGAAGCAGTCAGAGTGGCCAAAGTGTTCCTTTAACAAGAAAAGGAAATATGTTCCATATATATTTAAAACCGAAGTTAAAATCACTATAAAGTGATTTTGGAGAGTGATACTCTTATTTACTAAAGAGAGAAATCAAAGCGAATTTTAAATTTAAGGCCAAAGCAGTCAAACTGAAAGCACAGCTGACAAAAGAGAATTATTCCAGTGAGGCTATTTCGACCTGAGATTTCGAATTCACTTTGCTTTACCTTAAATTCTTGCTTTAGTGAATAACCTTGTGAGAGGTTAAAAAGCAGATGTTATGAAGAGGAAGTGAAAATTAAGTAAAGAATCAAGGTGATAAAATATCACAGTGAAGCCAAATACAGACGTTTGCTATCAGGCTCGCGCAGCTGTGATAAAATGGCAGCTGAATGTATACAGGTGACCACGCTATATAGAATAATTGGGTAATAGGCCACTCAATGTGCATTGCCTGCCAGAGCACTGACATGAGATGTCCCTGACTGGGTGAAGCAGCTTGTCCTCCTAGAGGATCTATTCTTCCACCACCATACAAGATTTACTCTTATTTTATGTTAATGTTCAGAAATGTTTTATTTTATGTTACACTCTACCATTCTTTTAATCTCCACCTGTTAGCCAACCCTTATATATTGTTGTGATCGGGGAATAACGTTCTAGGGGACATACTTGAATACTTTTACTCTTCTGGCAGGGTGTGACTTCCTTAACGGGCGCAAAACTCCTAAGAGCTAGTCTCTCACCTGTCACACCTGGTCCCCAAGGGGATACTGATAAAACGCTCTGCGGCGTAATATGTTCTACTGCAGCTTTACATAATAAAAAAACCACACTGCTTGTAGAACACCAACTGTCAATGTCCTGCCCTCATGAACCAAACTACTGTATGGCGAATGACTTGATATGTATATTGTACCTTACACTTGCAGTGTGCAAAATAAAGATTTTTTTCATTTTATTTTTTGAAAGGGCACTCAAAATATATATTTGATTGTGTGTATGGATTACAAAATAATACATTAAAGGATCACTATAGGGTCAGAAAAAAAAAAGGTTTTCCTGACAATATAGTGCCCCACCCTTGGCGCTGAAGGAGTTAAAACCCCTTCCGCTACTTACCTTAATCCAGCGCCTGGCTCCCTCGGCGCTGGTGACCTCTCCTTTCCCACCGACGTCAACTCCCGAGTGGAGCGGAATGCTCATGCATTCTCAATGCTTTTCTATGGAGGTTCTGCACGCTGGATGCGAATTTCGCATGTTAGGAAGACAGCCACTAGAGGTTGGATTAACCCTGCAATGTAAACATAGCAGTTTCTCTGAAACTGGTATGTTTACATCTGAAGGGTTAAAACCTGGGGGCCTGGCACCCAGACCACTTCACTGAGTTGAAGTGGTCTGGGTGACTATAGTGTCCCTTTTATTATTAATATTTTCAATAACAGGTTTTCCTTTAGATATAATGATACTTTATGCAATTCTCAAAATGCATGGAAGAAACAATAAGGTGGAAACATGTTTTTTGTAGAATTTAGAAGCCATTTTGGAATAGGGAATTCATGGAGGAATAGTAAATTAAATTTAAAAAAAAACCAAAAAAACGAGAGGGACATCTTCGTGTAAACAAGGGGCGCGCTGGTGAAGGTGATTAATTTAATACCCAGAAGGGATGTAATAGTCTCCTCCATCATCAGTTTTTCTTAGTTTTTTTTTTTAAATACATTTCCTCCCTCCCCAACCTAGAGTGCGTGCATTTGCTATCAACCAGGAAGAACAAGTCATGATTTCAGGTATGTTATAGCTTATTTATGGGTTTCTACTGGGGCTCCAATTACAAATGCCAAAGGGAATTTTAAATATCGGAGTGCTGCCAGCAAAAAGCAAGTGAACAATAATTTGTCAATGTGTGTTCTACTGGATGCATTTAGTCCGGATTAAGTATAAAATCAGTTCTTTGAATATGTTCCAAACCCCAATATTGGTTTTAAGTCATGAATTGAAACAGACTACGAACTATGATAAAGATTTGGTTTGATAAATCAAATGTTGCATCAGTAAATATGTGAATTGCCAGTCTAGTTAAAATTTGGCCACTTTGAATGAATTTTGTAAATTTGGTGAAAAACCCTGTGTATTTATTTATTTACCAAGTGTACGGATTAAAGAAGCCCAGCAGACCACATGTAAAAAGTCAAACCATTACAAAGCAGTTTGACAACTATCATTGGGGGCCTAAAGGGAACTCCTGGAACCATAACCACTACAGCAACCTATGCTCATTGCTTCCTTGCACACAACTGTTTATAAGAGCAGAGATTTGCAAAAAGAACTGCTGCAAGAGATCTTCCTGTGCCATCAAAAAAGGATTTTTTACAATGAAACTTATGGATTCAGTGAGGATCTGCTTGTTAGGCATTTTTGTCCTCCCCTCTTCAGCTGTCTGACAGAGCCACAGTGGTACACCTGACCAAGCCTATGAAGGGTGTTGTCAAAAATCTGATTCTGTAAGATAATTAAACCTGCTGCCAAGGATTGAATCACATATCCCACAAAACACAGAAGATTATGGGATACAGTAAGACTGACTCTCCCACCGTACACCAGAATAGGTCCCTCTTCATGACCGTAATAAAACAACTCAAAATAATTCTTTATTTTGAAGACCATCCACTAAGAACTAAATGAAAACAGGGAATGAGGGAGCAATTTGTGTGCTGTGTCTGTGATTGAATTTAATGCTCCACCTCACTGCCGATGTCCAACCCAATGCTTTTCACAGATGAGCATTGGGGACATTATGTACATGTGCAACAAATGCTGCGCACATTCAAACTCCCCCAGCAGTAACCCCTACCCCCCCCAGCAGTAACCCCACCCCCAGCAGTAACCCCAGCACCCCCAGCAGTAACCCCCACCCCCAGCAGTAACCCCACCCCCCTGTGCAGTAACCCCACCCCCAGCAGTAACCCCTACCCCCCAGCAGTAACCCCCACCCCCAGCAGTAACCCCACCCCCAGCAGTAACCCCCACCCTGCCCAGCAGTACCCCAGCAGGCACCCCCTACCCTGCCCAGCAGTAACCCCCTACCCCATACACAGTACCCCCAACCCCCAGCAGTAACCCCTAACCCCCAGCAGTAACCCCTACCCCAGCAGTAACCCCCTACCCTCCCCCAGCAGTAACCCCTACCCTGCCCAGCAGTAACCCCCCCCCCCATACACAGTACACAGTACCCCTACCCCCATACACAGTACTACCCCCATACACAGTACCCCAACCCTCCCAGCAGTACCCCTACCCCCCCCACACAGTACCCCTACCCCTCCGCAGCACCCTTACACATATAGCACACACACACAGAACACCCCCCCACACACACACAGCACCCCTCACATACAACACTCACACGCACCCCCCACCTCAATGCAGTATGTGTGTATTCAGCAGTCTTGTGTGTGTGTGCGTGTATTCAGCAGTCTGTCTGTGTGTGTATTCAGCAGTCTGTGTGTGTGTACTCAGCAGTGTGTGTGTGTGTACTCAGCAGTCTCTGTATTCAGCAGTCTTGTGTGTGTGTATTCAGCAGACTGTGTGTATGTATTCAGCAGTCTGTCTATGTATGTATTGCATTTGTTGGAGATACTAATAAATATAAGCTTAATTTTATCTATTTATATCATTTAAAATTTGTATCATTGAACTGTGTTCTTTTAAAACAAAAGTTATTAGTTCGGACAACAGTACGAGTTTTTTTTTTTTCTAAACTTAAACCTCAGTATTTGTGTTTAATTGCCGTGTTGGCACTTTAAGGAGAAAAAATGTTGGCATGTATTGCGGTTTGGGCACTCGGGCTCAAAAAGGTTCGCCATCACTGGCCTATGGTGTCAGCAATGGAGTTATTAAATAAAACTTTAAAAGTCTAAAATGTTTAGAATCTATTAAATGAAGGATATGCATTTTGGAGTGCAAGTGTTCAAAGTGTGCCAGCCCTATTTCTAGATTTTTTTAATTTATTTTTTAATAACATTTAGATAGTGATGTATATAAAACAAAAAAAATGGCTTCTGTATGCAGATTTCATTTAGGACTAAGCTGTGTCAATCTGGCAAACCAAAAGCTAAATATAGTTCATGTGCGTAAGCAAAATACAAAACAAAATTGTAATAAAATTGTGAAAACCACAATGCAAACAACCATAAGTTCGTGTTTAAAGGGCCTAAAACTCGCTCCCTGTGCAGACAGCGATTGAAGTTACAAGGAAGAGAGACCACAAGGAAGTGACTGGGACAAAAACAACCCTCAGCCTGCCTGAATGATAACAGCCCACTGATTACCAACACTCACACAGAGATGGAGCGCTCTTTCCCTGTATTGCTGGTCAATATTTAGCACTCTGCATGTTAGAGATTACATTTCCCATGATGCTCAGCCAGCCATTACCCAGTGATGGCTAGTCATGGCACTATCAGTGATTTGGACTACATTTCCCATGATGCTCAGCCAGCCATACGGTCACACATTGGGTCGGTGATATGAGAGTCTGGAGCCCCAGTCTCCGTGTAATAGAGAGGCAGAGCCCCAGCCTGGTCCCCCCCGCAGTAAGGCAGCACAGAGCGCCCCCTCCCTGATCAGTCTCCGCCCGCATACAGTGTGACTGCCAGGCCCCCCATGGCGGTACGGCGCCCGGTATCCCCCGCAGCCACCCACCACATCCCCTCACCTCGGCTCCTTTTCTTCCTGTACTCGAAGCTTCAGCACAGCTGACTTCCGCCTCCTCCTTGCGTCATCGTGACGTCAGCGACGCAGGGCACGCCGGGGAGTGTAGTTCTCCTGGTGACGTCCCGACAGGCAGCGCGAGAGAAGCAGGAAGTGAGTGAGGAGAGAGCACGGAGCCAGCACTGCACGGCACGGTACACAGAGTGACGGCGGGAGCACGGGTTACCAGGGATCAGTGTCAGAGAGAGGGGGGGGGGGGCTCGGCCATCACACCCATCACACCCATTATACCCATTATACAGGCTGACGGCAGCACGTGAAGAGTGTGCAGAGTTCATATCCCACTGGAAGTAAAGTCTGTGATGCCATCATGGAGGGTCCCACAGTGTATGGAGCCTGCACACTGCCATGGGGGAGTTGGGGTCCCACAGTGCGTGGAGCCTGCACACTGCCATGGGGGAGTTGGGGTCCCACAGTGTTTGGAGCCTGCACACTGCCATGGGGGAGTTGGGGTCCCACAGTGTGTGGAGCCTGCACACTGCCATGGGGGAGTTAGGGTCCCACAGTGTATGGAGCCTGCACACTGCCATGGGGGAGTTAGGGTCCCACAGTGTGTGGAGCCTGCACACTGCCATGGGGGAGTTGGGGTCCCACAGTGTGTGGAGCCTGCACACTGCCATGGGGGAGTTGGGGTTGGGGTCCCACAGTGGAGCCTGCACACTGCCATGGGGGAGTTGGGGTGCCAGTGCAGTGGAGCCTGCACACTGCCATGGGGGAGTTGGGGTCCCACAGTGCGTGGAGCCTGCACACTGCCATGGGGGAGTTGGGGTCCCACAGTGCGTGGAGCCTGCACACTGCCATGGGGGAGTTGGGGTCCCACAGTGTTTGGAGCCTGCACACTGCCATGGGGGAGTTGGGGTCCCACAGTGTGTGGAGCCTGCACACTGCCATGGGGGAGTTGGGGTCCCTGTGAAACATGGTGGATGTGGCAATCACAGCTGGCACCCACAGTGTTTATTAACTATAGTTATACGTTTACACTTAATTCCCAGCATGTGGGACTTGCTAGAGCTTGTGTGAATTCGTAAATATCCAGATTGCAAAACATGTGGCTATTTTGTAAACTCCTAGCTGTTCACATTGTTATGTTTTATACAAATTGTCCAACTCCGCTTTAGTCACTGCATAGGGGTAGGGGCTGGACATTGCATACCATTGTAAAAGGAGTAATGGTTAAAGAGACACTCCATAGTAGAATGCTCTCTCTCCCCCCTCTCCTTTATTTAATATATGGCAAATGCATTGAAAAAGTATGGGAGATGAGAGTAGGGGGGATACCTAACAGCAGCAAAGAGCTGAGACCTGAAAGAGGCTCCACTTATCACAAGCCTCTCATCTTCGGCTGTGCAGTCTTATCATGTAAACCCTGCTGAGCCGAAGCTCCTTTTATCAGATCTACTGAATATGCAGCATCTGTATATAAAAATGACAGTCTGTGCATGATAACCATTGAAGAAGTTATGTCTCCAGGCACTGTCAACTGTTCAGTGTTAAACTGTTGTTTTCACTGCTGCTCTGGTAAATGCTGCAACATGAGCCTGAGCAGAGATGGTTGGCAGTGATTGGCTCAGAGCATCAGCTCAGTGCTCTCTGTCTATCACTGCCATTCATTGCTTGGAAACGATTGGCGCGACTAATGCAGAAATGCATTCCACCTTAGCGATATCTCCTGCAGTGTTGTTATTATGTTCTTTATATAGCGCCATCAAATTCCGCAGCGCTTAACAATGGGTGGACGAACAGACATGTAGTTGTAACCAGACAAGTTGGACACACAGGAACAGAGGGGTTGAGGGCCCTGCTCAATGAGCTTACATGCTAGAGGGAGTGGGGTAAAATGACACAAAGGTAAGGATAGTATTAGACTAATGACAGTTGCAGAAGAGGAATCAGTCAGGAGCTATTAACAGTTTAATTGATACGCTTTTATGAAGAAGTGGGTTTTTAACGATATTTTGAAGGAGTGGAGACTGGGTGAGCATGTAACGGAGGAGGGAAGCGAGTTCCACAGAAATGGCGCAGCCCTCGAGAAATCTTGAAGGCGAGCATCAGAGGTGGGAGTACGGACAGAAGATAGATGTAAGTCTTCAGCAGAACGTAAGGGCCTAGACGTGACATACTTGTGTATTAGGCCGGATAGATAGGTGGGAGCAGCATTATGTAGAGATTTGAAAGCAAGAACCAGAATTTTAAGCCATTGTAGGGACTGACAGAAGGGTGAGGCATGGGAGTTGCGGGCAGGAAGATGAGCCTCGCTGCCGCATTCATTATGGACTGTAACGGCGCAAGTTGGGAGCACATAAGACCAGTAGTCAAGGCAAGAAAGGACAGTGGAATGGACCAACACCGTAGTTGCATCTGGTGTTAAGTAGGGGCGGATGCGCGCAATGTTTTTGAGATGGAAATGACAGGATTTGGCGATGGATTGAACATGAGGCTTGAAGGAGAGGTCTGAGTCAAAGAGAACACCTAGGCAGCGAGCCTGCATGGTGGAGCTGATGGTAGCACTGTTAACTTGGAGGGAGACACACAGGAGTAACAACACTTGAGGGAGGAAAGACCAGAATTTCAGTTTTGGTCAAGTTTAGTTTAAGGAAGTGGGCAGCCATCCAGTTAGAAATAGCAGAGAGGCAGTCAGAGACACTAGTCAAGAGCGATGGGGAGAGATCAGGAGAGGACAGATAGATTTGCGTGTCATCCGTATAGAAATAATAATGGAAGCCAAAGGAGCTAATGAGTTTACCAAGGGAGGCAGTATAGATGGAGAACAGTAGGGGACCAAGGACTGAACCTTGGGGGACACCAACAGAGAGGAGTTGGGGAGATAAAACAGAACCAGATAAAGAAACACTAAAAGAGCGCTGGGAGAGGTAGGAGGAGCACCAGGAGAGAGCAATATCTTGTAGACCGATATTGTGGAGGATGAGAAGAAGCTGTTGATGATCAACAGTGTCAAAAGCCGCAGACAGGTCAAGGAGAATTAGGATAGAGTAGTGACCACGAGATTTTGCAGCGAGTAGATCATTGGATACTTTGGTCAGTGCCGTTTCCACAGAGTGCTTCGCGCGGAAACCAGACTGAAGCGGCTCTAGCAGAAAGTTGGACTCGAGGAAGTCTGTCAATCTCGCATACACAATTCTTTCAAGGATCTTGGATGCAAAAGGCAGTAGCGAGATAGGACGATAGTTGGATGGAGAGTTAGTGTTGTGTGTTGCGGAGTCATGGGCGTCCAGTACCTTCATCAACAGTAACGTGAGAATTGTCGGGAAATGGAAGTGAATTTCAACATTTTGGCTGAAATAGCTTATTATAAAAAAATTCTCCAAGTCAACCCTGTTCATTTTGGCAATTTTTGCCTTACGTTTGAGATTATTTATGAATTCCCAGCCATTCTTACTTTTGTGAATAACCCTGTTAATATTAAATAGTTTGAAACCGATTAACACTTAACCATTGGGTAATGCCATTGGCTCCAGCATAATCATTGTAATGGGATGAAGTACTTATGGTGTTTTGAATATCCCTTTAACAACTATGCTCATTATGTACAATATTTAGGGTGGCAACACTATTTACTAGTAAAATATTGATTTAAAAGTTCAATTGAATTTGGTAATAATAGTGTCTAAATCCCAGAGCTAACTTTAAAATTAGATGTGTAAGTGCGTCTTGTTAAGACATGTTGATATTACTACATTTGCATTTAGATTGCTGTACACTATTTCCTTCATCAGTGACATAAACATTACCTTTTGTTGCAGCCTTACATGAGAAGAGTGCATGATTCTAGCTAATTTGGCTTACTAGTTTTTATCCCCCTGTTGGTGTCACCACATTCGATATTCAGCTCATGATACTTCATCCACCAGGAGCCCATGTGCAAGAGTACAACATTATGGGGGATCACAATAGACTTCCGCAGCCTTCATAGTATTGTCTAGCTATCAGCGAAATTGTCTTATGCTATCTTTTGACTGTGTCTGAATTTCATTGAAATACCAATGCACTCTTTTTGAGCATTTCATAACTATGACATCCTTTAAAATATGCTCATAATGTTTTTTGGGAGTGACATAGCTGCCTTAAATACTCTATTTCAAGGGAAATATTGTCTTAATTCTTTGCTATTGTATTTCAGAAACTGAATGAAACTGCAAAGAGTGAAGATAGATATGAGTCTCAGAAGATGAAAACTTAGGGTTTAAATATTTAATGTGTGTAAAGGATGAGGTACATAAATGGTGGATGGTGATGATCTGTGGGTTATAGTTGTGATTATTTTCTACTGCAGGTTATTCCAGGATGAAGGACTCCCTTACCCTGCTGACTCGGGTTTCTGCTCACCCTGACTCCCGTTGCTGGTTCGTGGCATGGAATCCCACCGGAACATTACTGGCCTCATGTGGAGGCGATCGGATTATCCGGATTTGGGGCAAAGATGGTGTGTGCATGTACAGGAATGACCTTCCGCTCTTTTGTTTAAGGATTACCTAAAGCATCATGACCTCTTTGGTGATTTACAGCAATCATGGTGCTTGGAGTCTATCTGTGCAGCAGCGGTGCAGGGGTGTTGCACCCCTTTGTTGTTGAAGGTGTGCCTTCACCGCCAGCAGCCTTATTAGGGTGTCATTAGCCAGCTCGGAACAAGAGTAGCATGTGGGCCAGCGTTTGAGATGTCTGCTGTGTAGGCTCATTTACAGGCCTTGTGTGTATCTAAGTGGATCATTGTTTAGCTGCTGTTGTCTTTTATTGTATGATTGATGGACTGCTTCTCCCATCACTCTCATTCAGCTCCTGCCTAGCTACAATGGTGAATTCCACAAGATAAATAGTATATTATGTGGTAAATATATTAACCTGTTGGAAACCAGAACGATGATGTAGATCGAATATGTTTTTCATTTAAAGGTAAAACATGATTTTGTTGTGCTTCTACATCTTTATTTAATGGGACACTATAGTCTTGAAAACAACTTTAGTTTAATGAAGCCACTTTGGTATATAGGTAATACCCCAGCAGTCTCACTGCTCAGTTCTCTGCCATTTAGCAGTAAAATCACATTTTTAATGCAGCCCTCCCTGCATGTAACTTACATCAAATCCTCTGGTCCTTAAGGATGGTGGGTGCTCTATGCATTCCTTAAGGAGCCAATCCTAAATGCTGGCGGGTGGCATAGTACATTCCAACTGGCAATTGGGGGGACTGCCTGAAATCTGATATCGCGACGCATGGCCACAATAGCCAGCATGTGCAGTGCCTGCAGGGGGACTGCCTGGGATGTCAGGCAGTTCCCCAATGCCTGAAAATAAAGTTTATGAAAACGTTTTACACCGCTTATTAATGGGGAAAAAAGTACTTGGATCGTGTGTGTGTGTGTGTATGTATGTATGTGTGTGTGTGTATATGTATATATGTATATATATATATATATATATATATATATATATATATGTTCGGGGCATTCTCATATGATATAGAATAAGATGGGTTGTAGAGATGTAGCTTTAGGAATAATCGGTTGAGGTGTGCCGAAACCGACGTATGCTGTAAGCCGGTAAAAAGTGGGCTTACATAGAGGAAATATGAACAATGGGAGTGGAGGGTGGGGCTATTCGTCCGACCAACAAAGGTAAGTAGGGAAAGGGGTGAGTCCCTTTTATAGGTCTATAGCCCCTCCCACAACTTCAGGCCATGCCTTCCAATTTGTGTTCGGGGCATTCTCATATGATATAGAATAAGATGGGTTGTAGAGATGTAGCTTTAGGAATAATCGGTTGAGGTGTGCCAAAACCGACGTATGCTGTAAGCCGGTAAAAAGTGGGCAAAAAGAGAAATATTAATGCAAAACATTATACAGGATCATAGTGCATTTGTTAACCATCAGTTAGACATTTTAATGAAAGCTTCCTAATTCCTGAATCGGCTGTGGTATGTAAATCGCGTAAGCCTGTGATTCCCAACGGCCCCGTGTCTTAACGTGTGCGGGTATGTCTTGGCTATAGGCTGTGTAAGCTGCTCCTATCCTAAAGTAGTCGCTAGGGTTTAGTTCGAGCCCGGAGAATGAGTAGGTGGACATAGTGCATGAACTGTGGTAAGGACAGTATCGTACAGCGACAGTAATGGTTCAGTGGTGTGTATGGTGGCGTGCCCAAGAACGTAATCAGTACCTTAACCGGGCACCCAGCATTGCTTGTAAGGTAGTAGGTTATATGCACTGGCTCGGCCCTCTGACTCATCTTAGTTTTAGGAAGGGACCGGACATAGTGGTCTGTGTGTTTTAGAAGATAAGAGGTCAACAGGCACTCTTGTTTATAATGTTGGCTGCTGATAGTGAGTTATTGTTTGGCCTGAGAAAGCCGTTAAAGGCTAGATAGGTTGCAGTTTTGATAACTGCATTGGTGTGTGGCTCAGAAGTATATATACACACACACATTAATATCAAAATAGAATGAAATTCATGTGTATATAAAGTACTTGGATCATATATATGTATGTGTGTGTGTATATATCTCTATCTACAGAACTGTAGCCCGAAGGGCTTCGTAATAAGTGTATTCCTCTTTGTGTTAAATCACACTTGTACAATCGTCAGTGTTTCAGTCCATATATAAGGACCTTAAAAAAGAAAAAAAGTCCTGGTATATGAACTGAAACATTGACGACTGTATATAACCCTGTGTATATATAGCCCTATATATAACCCTGCATCTTTCCAAGACACCATTAAACCTGTACATGGGGGGCACTGTTATACTCGGGAGCCTTCGCTGAACACAAATATTAGTGTTTCAAAACAGTAAAACATATCACAACGATTATATAATCAGTGAAGGTGCCGTTTGTGTGTGAAAAACGCAAAAAACAAATATGAACGCTAACTTTGGACAGTGTTTGTGAGTAACTGGCTGCTAAATAAAAAAAAAAAAGACTGGACATACCCCATTTGCAATACCTTAGGTTGTCTACTTTTGCAAATGGTATGCCATCATGGGGGTAATTATTATTGCTGGGCTGCCATACGGTCTGAAAGACAACTTTCAGTGTGTAAAAACTGAAAAAGGTGATGTGCTATATTTGACCCTGTAACTTTGCAAAACCCCATAAAACCTGTACATGGGGGGTACTGACATCGCTGAATACAAATATGTGTATTTTATTGCAGTGAAAGCCAACAGTATTATGACATTCACAGTTAAAATTCCACGCAAAACTAAAACAATAACGTTTCTTGATTTCTAGATTTTCTTCATATTAAATTATGTTTCATATATGAATATTTGATGTGAAATGAAAGCTCTGTTTCTCCTGAACAAAATGATATATAAGTGTGGGTGCACTTAAAGGGATCCTATAGTGCCAGGAATACAAAGCTGTTTTCCTGGCACCATCGCGCCCCCCTACCGTATTAAATAAAGGGTTAAACACCATTTATTTAATTACTTTATGCCAGTGCCAACGTTCCGCGACAAGCTGGTGCTCATGCACATGCGCAAAAAATGCTGCACGCGCATTAGACCTCCCCATTGGAAAGTATTGAATCAGTGCTTTCCTGGTGGGAAAAATCTGACACTGGATATCTTCATGCAGAGCGCGAGGACGTCCCACGTCAGGTACCGGAACAACGGTTCGTTTGGATGCAGAAAGCGCCTCCAGTGGCTGTCTGGGAGATGTTTAACATTGCAGCACTAAGTTCAATAGGGACACTGTACCCAGACCACGTCAATGAGCTGAGGGGGTCTGTGTGCCTCTAGTGTTCCTTTTAATAGGACAGAAGTAAATTGTGATTGAACAAACATATAGTCAAATTCCAGGTTTTGTTTTGTTCAGAATGTGTTCAATTGGTTATGGGAAGGTAAGTCCGTCCTTAATGGGTTCATTTAGAAATTGTCTCCCGCTCTGTTCATAGCTTGTTAGACCATGCAGGAGCCTCCTGTATGTGATAAAAGTTCAATTTACAGAGCGGGAGATAAAAACATTTAATTTAGGTTACATCTGATTAAAAATTAAAACAATATTTTTTCTTTTTTCTTTTATGCAGGCCGTGTCAGGGGGGCTAGGACTGTATCAACAGAAACAAAAGTGATTTAACTCTTAAATGGCAGAGAATTGAGCAGTGAGACTTCAGAGGTGTTATCTATACACCAAAACTGCTTCAAAAAGCAAAAGCTGTTGGTAACTATAGTGCCCCTTTGAATGTGAGAGGAGGGGGGGGGTATTTATGACCATGATAAGAAAGTGAGAAATGTTTGATGTGATACCTGTATAAAAGTGGCAAAGATTTAGATGCTGTATGTGAAACTGATGAACAACTGGTGCTTTGCGTCCTGTAAGTTATGGGTGCAGTGGGAAGCAGATATTTTATATGATTAGGGTGACATGAGAATGAGAGACAGATACAATATATACTAGTGTATTGGCTAATGTATGGAATAGTTGGTTTTGGCTGCGAACATTTTTCCTCTATGCTGTTAGTCATTTTTTTTTGTCTGTGACGTGTTTATCAGAAACTGTGTAGAGGTGTATTTGCAGCTGGAGGGCAGCCATGTTTCCATCCCTGTTGTAAAATGTAATAATATTGCTGACTTCTACAATTACATAATCAGTACTTGGGTATTTTATATTTGTTTTTCCTTGCTTTATCGCTGACTTCTTTAAAGGCTCATTCCAGGCTGACTTGATTTCTGGAACAGAAATCACTGCTAATTGTGGCAACTACAATGAAAATTAAAGTGGAGCAGGTAGCTTCTAACATTGTTTTCCTCTATGTATCACATTGATACAAAAGATGTCTGTTTGCCGCTTTCAGATGCTTCTTGGGTGTGTAAATCAGTCCTTGGCGAAGGGCACCAACGCACAGTGCGAAAAGTAGCCTGGTCACCCTGTGGAAACTACTTGGCATCTGCAAGCTTTGATGCCACTACATGCATTTGGATGAAGAAAAAAGAGGAATTTGAGGTAGGAGGCAATGAAACTGAGATCCCTTTAAAAGCAAAATTGTACCTTAAATCCCCTGCTGAGCCCAAGTTCTCCCTGCAGGCTGATCCTCCTCCAGTGATTTCACTCCCCCTCACTGGAATGGGAAGGTAACGTCCCAGAGGACCGGCTGAGGGGAGGACTTGGACAGTTTGGGGGTAGAGGGGATGGCTGTGCCACCACTTGCCAAATGTTGCCAGCATGCTATATGTGCTGTTGACAGATGCCTAATATGCAAAGAATTAACATTAGCTAGCCTGGAACTCCCACTCTGGGCAATGACTCTGCCAGAGGTAATGTGCTATATGTCTGCATGTGACACGTTTTAAACTGAAGTGCAGCACCTACAGACTCAAAGCACCATTTCAGATCACTGAAGTGGTTGTGGTGCTTGGAATAACCCTTAAAGATGTAATTTATTTACTCTGCCTTAAACACTTCTGAAGAACTTAGTGCTCTCCTTCGATCCTTGGTCATGTTTTGGCATTAAATTACTGTCCAGAGAAGTTATATCAATATTTTCTGTTATTTAGTGTGTCACTACTCTCGAGGGACATGAAAATGAAGTGAAATCAGTAGCCTGGGCACCCTCTGGAAATCTTCTAGCAACCTGCAGCCGTGACAAAAGTGTTTGGGTATGGGAAGGTGAGCTTTGTTAAATACACAAAATACAGTATAAACTTTTATATATATGTTGATTTAGTCACACCATATGGCCATACCATGTTTAAGCCCAACATTACTTCAAACACTCCAATATTGCTGGCTCCTACACTAATCTTAATACGTGAGATAAAAATGCTCAATTAGAGCTGCAAGATTTACTGTTTAATTTGATTAACGGGCTCCCCTAACGTGTGTAATTTCTTGTGGTCACTTCGATTGAGGCCCTTGGAGGGGAGGCTGCGTCTTAACAAGGGAGATGAAGGGTAAACATTGCTGCTATGCAGCCTTTTTTTGGAAATTTGAAGTTCATGCTGCATTGAGTTTCAGGACAGCTCAATCTTGTTCTTTAACTTGTTAATAAAATGTTTGGTGAAGCTTTAAAAAAAGATAGTGGGTGCCTCTTTACACATCTACACCCACCTTAGTACTTTTACTTTGTAACAAAATAAGTCTTGTGAGTAAGAGGCATATGCTGCAATGCCTAAAACTATTTTCCCCTTCTTGCAGTGGATGAAGAGGAGGAGTATGAATGTGTCAGTGTGCTCAACTCACACACACAAGATGTGAAGCATGTAGTGTGGCATCCTAACCAGGAGGTAAGTGAGAATTAGTTATATTTTGATGTTCTTCAACTTATTACTTCCAAATAAAATAGGTAAAAATATCAGGAATTGAATATGTGCCCCCACCTAAAATGAACAGGAGACTTGGAATGTCATATATCCGCTTCAACAAATTGCAAAAATCACTTTTTTACTTTTTAGCCCAAAATCTGGTAGGCAGTGAACTCTTTCCTTACCCCATTTAATAATGTACATTTCTTACTACTGACTCTTGCTTTCTTTCTCCTCCCAGTTGTTGGCCTCAGCTAGCTATGATGACACTGTCAAACTGTACCGGGAAGAGGAGGATGACTGGGTGTGCAGTGGCACACTGGAGGGTCACACATCCACTGTGTGGAGCTTGGCATTTGATCAAAACGGAGAGAGGTTGGCCACCTGCAGTGATGACAAGACAGTGCGCATCTGGAAGCAGCAAGGAGCTGCTGAAGAAAAAGGTTAGGTGATTTATTACTTAGGGGGACTTCAGATGTGTTCTGCTTTTTTACAGTAAGCACTATAAGGAAGGAATTCTCTGCCTGAAGAGGTGGTTTTATCAGTCGATACAAATGTTTAAACTGCAATTGGATAAATACTTCCAAAAACATAATATACAGGGATATAATTTCTAATTAGTGGGGTGATAGCTGCTTGATCCAAGGAGACATCTGACTGCTATTTTGGGGTCAAGAAGGATTTTTTTTCTTCCTAGTTTGTTTCAAAATTGGAAGC